CCCGCCGGAGGGGTTTCCCTCAGGCGTTGCAGCACGCGGCCGGCTCTGGAGGGCGTCAACAAGCCCGTCGTAGACCGCATCATCCGGGTGGACCACGCGGGGGAGTACGGGGCAAACCGCATTTATGCGGGGCAAATGGCCGTCTTGGGTCGGTCAAGTGTGGGACCGATTATCCAGGTTAGTGGGCCTGAAAGCGGTCGCTGTGTTTCTGGCTAATTTGCATTTGATGAACAATGGTCGGATGAAGTTGTAGGCTGTACGGCTTTTCCTGAACACGTGTGAACGCGGGGGCTTGTGAAGGGGGGCGGGATGACGCAATAAGGGAGTCACCGATCCTGCAGTTGCTGGGGTATTGTTACAAGGGCTCTTGTTCTGCGGAAGTTTTTGTGTTGCCTATTTACACCTGTCCTCACCTGCCCTTCACTGTTTCCTTCTTGCGATGCGAGTGGTGTTACTCCTGCCGTTAAAAGTGTGAGGGCCCTGAGCTGGTTTGGTTTTCTCTGGTTTATTAGTTTTATTTGAAATGTTTAATTTTTCTGGTTTCATGCTTTACTGTCATCTGGCTCTTCCGCAGCAAATGTGGAATCAAGAAAAAGACCACCTGAAAAAGTTCAATGAACTAATGGTTGCATACCGAGTTCGGCCTACTGTTTTACTGCCTTTTTGGAACGTAGCAGGTTTTGTTTTAGGTGAGTTTGTGTTATTACTATTATTGTTGCTTAATGAAGTCTTCAAGCATGTAAATTATTTGTATTGCTTCAGATGTCATTGTTTGTATTTGTTTGGTACCTCAATCACAGGGGCTGGAAGTGCTTTACTCGGAAAGAAAGGTGCAATGGCTTGCACAGTGGCTGTGGAAGAGAGTATATCGGATCACTACAATAGCCAGATCCGAACTCTTGTGGAAGAAGATCCAGAAAAGTACAAAGAACTGTTGCAGGTATTTAACTATGACTTAAAAAATTGTTTAAGTAATTAATTGAATTATCTAATGTGACTGTAGTCTTTTAAAATAATACACTTGTAGAATTTACAATCTCTTTTTCTTCTGTCACTTGGAATGCTGAAGTCAACAGAAACTTTTAAGTTAAAAGGATGTTTTTTCCTTCAGCAGTACTGAATTGATCAAGCACTTGGATTAGCTTCAGCATGCTTTCGGTAATTCATCATTTCCCTTTGGATTGGGAGAACTATACTTCAGTTTTGATTACCTTTAATTGAAAGGAAGGGTTTAGAGGGGAACAAAATGAGAAAATATGATTGTGCAGTAACATTTTGTTTATACTGGATAGGATTATATAGCTCTAGCCTTGAATACTATCCAGAGCGTGTAAGGAGCAAATGTTTGTTAGGTCTGCAGGAAAATTACTTCCCAAATATTTTAGGCATCAGCTTGGGACACGTTCCTGTAGGGTGTCAGACTGACCTATTTCCACAAGCAGCCCATTGAGCTCGTTTGTGCTCTGTTTGGTGGGAGCTTGCTCTAGGGTCTGTGTGCTCGTGTCCATCTTTGCTGACAATCAGTATGTTCAGTTGTGCTTAGTTTAACCTGTAGGCAAGTCTGGTTACTCCAAACGTGTCTTCTTGTTACGGAAATAGTATCTGAAGTAGCCCGGGTTGTGCTGACATGTGCACAAGGGAAACACTACCCCTGAAAATAAAGACTATAAACTGAGAGGGCACAAAATAAAGAGAAAAAGCCAAGCAGCAAGGTTATTCACAGTGTCAACAGGAGGAGGACTAGCAATGAAACCAAAAGTGATGTGAATCCCTTGGGTAGGGACAGTGCTTGGGTGTCTGTAAACTCTGAGCGCTTTATTAAGCAATCCTAGTTATCTGCAGGCATCTCAAGAGAAAATTCTTTAGACCTTTTTGGCCCAGTTGAAAAATCAGAAGAGAAAAACAGCGTTCTTTAGAGTATGCTAGAGTGGACAAAAGCCCTGTTGGCTTACAGGGAAACACCCTTACTGATCATCTGGCAAGGCAGGGACCTTGATTTGATTATTTAAATTGTTAGAATAATTTGTACATGTGAAGCTAATTAGCGTTGCAAGTTACTAAGACTAGATTTTCTGAAACAGTGGAAAACAGTGTTACATTAAACAGCAGCTTGTTTTTTAAAGGCTTTTTTGAGAATATTGAAAGAACTTTAGGTTTGGGGAATGCTGTAAATAGTTTTCTTCTTGCTGAATTGGAGATTCAGGTCTTTGAGAAGGTTTTGGGAGACCTGGGCCTCAGATGCCTGTTCTGGTGCATGCAATGGTCAACAGCATATACTTTTGTATACTAGCTGCCTTGATTTCTCTGCCAAGTAGACTTACTAATTAACTGCTCATTTTTAAAGATAATAAAGCAGTTTCGAGATGATGAACGGGAGCACCATGACATTGGGCTTGAGCACGATGCCGAAGCGGTAAGTACGGTGTTAGCGAGGATGTAGATGTGATATTCTTACCTTCCTTATCCAGTGGCTGTGATGTAGTTCTTTATGTAAGAAACAGCAAATAAGGTGCTTGATATTCTTTCCCAAACAAAAATATAAGAAAACACGTATTATTATGTGAAAGCATATTATAGCTTTCATTTTTCTAGAACAGAATTGAATCCGTTGGAACTTACATCAAGTGTTAAAGTAATTGTATTTTCCTGAGAGGTTTAGATTAAATGTTTTTGAAGATAAGTCTAATAAGTGCTGTCCATACAGCTGGGAACTTCAGGCGTCATCTTGGTAGACGAACACAACTGTGCCAGGCAGTGTGAAATACTGAACTGAATTCTGTGCTCCCTTGAATACTGTACGAGGAATGTGTGACCTCTCCTTTTGTTTCTCTTGACTTACATTTGTGGGGAAATGGAAACATTCTGCAAAGCTGATAGTTTTTAATTTTGTTTTCTCTAAGGTAGATTAGACTACAAATACAGGCATTTTTTGGTGTTGGGTGTTTTTGTTTGCGTGTTTTGCTTTGTTTTGGTTTTGGTTTTGTTTTTTTTTTCAGATAATGCTTACTATTCCTTACCACAATCTGCTTCAAACAAAACACTTCATTGGATGTAGTTGATCTTTTATTCTTTGTTTTACAGGCACCAGCTTACTCAGTTTTGAAGACAGCTATACAGCTTGGATGCAAAGCTGCGATATTTTTATCGGAAAGAATTTAGTGATATTTTCCGTAATGTTTGTGGCAATAAACTGTGACACAAAAGTGTATGGAAATTGCAGAAGACTAATAGTTATTTTATTCAGCCTTTTAAAATTTTCTTCACTAAGCATCTGATTCAGCCATCCTTTGTCACATTGAGTACCTGTTCAAAAAGTATTGCTGAAGGTAATTAGACTAACACAGTATCTTCCCGAACTTGGCCAATTCTCTGAACAGATGTTACATCTATGTTAACATCAGTTGAGCTAAATGTGAATAAAGGTGGCAGATTTGAGTCTGTATGAACTAAACCTCCTTATTCAGAGACTGTTCACAAGGTGGCAGCAAAATATGTATGTATATACATCATTTATATATATGTGTGTGTACTTGAAATAAGCTGGAGCTCATAAACTTATTTTAAAATGGTTAATACTGACTAACTAGGGTATTTTTGAGTTCTATTTTCAGGGTAAGTAATGAAGTACTAGTAAGTATTTCTTTTCAGTCTGTCTTGAATAAAGATTGCTATTATAAGACTTTAATTTGAAGTCTTTAATTTGGGGTCTTTGGGGTTTTTTCAGGCTCAATTTTTAATTTTTTAATTAAGTAGAATTTTTCCTCCTTTGGATTTGTTTTTTTGTTGTTGTTGTGTCGTTGGTTTGTTTGTGGGAGGGGGTGTTTTGTCTGAGTGTCTGTAAGGAATTGATGCCTGATATAAAGTAGGTGGAGAGAGCAACTTGGAGCACCTGTGGAATTGTACTTGATATTCTGTTAGAGCTTTCAAGTTTATCTTTGCTTCTAGTCTTCAGTGGCTCTTGAATAGAGATGCTCTTGCGTTCTCCATGTTCAAACAATTTCCCCAGGCTTCCTGCTGGCGTCCGGGCATGAAGCAACAGAAGCAAAAACCACAAAATTGTGCATGCCTGTTCTGTTAAATGCTGATCAGAGATGATAAAAGTACAGCAATGGGATTAGAATGTCTTAAACTGGTAGGGATGAAAGGGACCTCGTGCAAGATTGCATCTCTTGTTCTTTATGTCTTAAGAACATCCTGACCATTCTTTTCCTATTGCATCCTTATGGGAATAGGATAACTTTCCAAATGCGTGTGGGTAATATGGAAGATGCTGATATTTTGATACAAATATTTAAAGTCCCTGTGAGAGACTTCCATTGAAGCATGATCTTCTGACTATATGTGGTAAGGGAGGGGAAACCCTATGAATAAAATCTGGTCACATAGAAAGCATGTGTCCATGCTTCTGAAACCCTGGGGAGACGCAGCTTATTTAACTGCCATAAGCTAATGTTGTTTTCTCAGTCTTACAGGTTTTCCAATTTCTACAGGTTTGTGGGTTTTGTTTTGGTTGGTTGGGTTTTTTCTTGATCAAAATAGCTTATCTTAACAGATCAGGGAGCAGAATTTCTTGCATCTTGTTTTCTGGTTAAAAGCTGTGATGTATTAGAAGTCAGTATTTCTTAGCCCAAGCAGTGGGGTATGACTAGTTGAACAGGTGGATGTGGGATGTAATGTGCATAAACCTAGTTGAAAAGGAAAGAATTTGAAATCAAGAAATAAAATGGTAGCAAGTGTTGCCCGTTACTGTCTTGAGGAATGGGGCCACCATTGCCAATCTTGACTTTTACCTTATATGGCAAAACTACACAGCTATATTGAGGCCAGTTAAGTAATTTGATGAAGTTTTGCTGTGTGCTGGTTCCAGTTCTGTTGTGCTGGCCCAATGCTATGTACTGACTTTGTAGCTGCTTTGAGACCAGGGGATGATAAGAAGTACGGAGTTGTCACCAGGAATTCAAGACCTGTGGGAGCATCTCGAAGCATCTGAAATCCAAGCATCTGGGAGCTTGGTGAGGCTTCAGGCAGCACTTAATCCAGGTACCTCTGAGTCTACCTTTTTGAGTAATTGTTAGTGTTTCTAGGTACTGATTGGTATGTAATTTGACATCAAAAGACTTCTCAAAGAGCATTATTTACCCCCTTTTTTTTTTTTTTGTGAAGGAGCTCAGACTGAAGGTTAAATCTTAACATAGAAACTCCAGTTCTGTATGGTTGATTATGACTGACACTTTGTACATCCCTTAAGAACAATTTCTGTCGCAGCATTGCAACTGTGGCCTGGTTATACTCAAACTACTGATGTTGTTGATATTGTCCAAATAAAGTAGTGTTTGGTTCTCTATCTATGACTGGTTTGCACACCCACTGGGGTAACTTGGCTCAAGGAACTCAAAGCTAAATCACAGATTTCTTGTGGGCTGTGTAATAAGAATCTCTAAGGGATTCCTGTTTTACTTGCCTCAGCCCTAGACAGTTGTGAGCAGCGTGCATGTAAACTTGAGTTTACTAAAGGTACGTCACATTAGACTAACACAGTATCTTCCCTAACTTGGCCAATTCTCTGAACAGAAGTTACATCTGGCAGATTTCTTGCCTTAATTTCTCTAAAACATTCAGTATGCTGACATGTGGAAAATTCCTAGGTAATTTGGAGAAGAGGCAAATGAGCACAAAAGAATGGTTAGCTAAAGTGGCTAAAGGGGTAACAAGTGGCGTTGAAAGAACATGCGGTGCCGTTGTGTGAGTCATGGACTTTAATAATTGAGGAAAAAGAGGAATAAAGATCACTGCGTGAATAGCCCATTGTAAAGTCTTTAATAATGGGGCAAGCTGGGATGGCATCTTTTATAAGTCCGTTATTAGAGCTGGAGAGGGAGCAGCACATTATGTTTTGTCTCAAAGGTGGAAGTTGCACACCCATGCCTACAGTGGTGTGGTGATACAAACTGGAAACTGAGCCAGAGATTTCCCCGGTCTGTTAGCTGTTACATCAGGATTGAATACTGGACAAGGCATCCGTGGCACTTTCCTAGGTAGCTGGTACTCAGCTGAAGCCTGGTATTCTGCAAGGCAGTGGTTACAGAGATTCTCCGAAGATGTCTGTAGTGGTGTTCAACAGTTGTGGGATTTGCTGCTGACACAGAGAAGCATTCATGTGAGGCTTTGCCCAAGATGGGGGTGGCCTCCAAGACCATGGCACACTGCTCGCTTGGGGCAACAATATTTAAGAGACAAATCTCATTTTTTAATGCGTTTAGTTTGGCCAAAGGCTGGGAACATCAAATACCAGGAAATCACCATGTGAGGACAGTGTGTTTGGCCATATCTGCAGTAACTGTGAAAGTGCTCACAGCGAGTTCTTTGTCCTCAGCAGCTGAAAACATTTGAGTAGGCTGTCAGACAGTAATACTGTCTCTAGCTGTGAGCACAACGTACAAAATGGGAGACAACTGTGCTTTATGCCCCTGAGCAGGATTTGGTCCCTTTTTGTACTGGAGCAGCATATTTGCGCCCATCCGTTAGTGTGGGTGAGCTGTTCTTCTGCCTCTTCCCATGGCTGTGCATTTCCCTGCTCGCTGGTGGTTACTCTTTTGCTGTTTTACATAGAGAATGAAGTTGCTTTTCATTTTCCTCATGCAAAAGGGACATTTTTTTGTTTGTTTTGTTTAAAAACCTGCTTCAGATTTTGAAAAGACTACAGAAGGTGGTAGAAGGTTACAAAAGGACTGGGGATGCTCAAGTGCTGTACAGAACTTCTGTTGTACAGCTGCTGCAAGGCTCTAGTTTCTTTTTATGTATTATTTTCAGGCAGAACTAAAGCTGACTAACGTCAGCCATCCCAGCAGGGGTTAATGGCAGGCGAAGGCCGAAGTATATAGCTTATACAAGTCTGTTATCACAGTGATTCTCTATGCACTCCTGTTGTGTTGACAGAGGAAAAGGAACTTTGAGCAGACAAGCTGTGAAATGCTGCATTTTCAAAACAGGGAGCAGGGAAGATGGCAGGGTCTTCACTGTGCCTTTGGGTTTTGGGGCTGTATTCTGAACCTGAAGTAAGCCCATAATTTGGGTCTTGTAATATGCAACACTATGTAATATGGGACAAAATCCTTCCCTTCTTCCTTTTGAAGTAATCATGGCTGCTTCTAGCTCCTGTGACAACCAAGGGCTTGATCCTGATTTTTCTCCTCCAGAAGGAGAGAATCATTTTTTTTGGTGAGGAAGAGCAGAGGGTATCCACCTGTGTGTGTAGGAGGCATAGGGCTGTTATCTGCTCCTTGGTCAGCATCTCACCTCTTACTATTTTCTCTTGCAGTCAGCGCGGGGGACAATCTCACCCCTATTCTCCAAAGCTGCTCAGAATCAGAGATTAAGGTAATGATGGTGCTTGGAGTTGAGTGACACGGACAGATGGTGTGGTCCTTGTGCTGAGCATTGGGACTTTTTCTGGTGCTCTGGCAGCTCTGAAGCAGAATCTCTGCAGTTGCAGGCTCTGCTGGCTTAGGAGGAGGAAAACCCAGCAAATGGGCAATGGCAGTTCTGTCTCACAAAGCAAGAAGGATGGTTATGAAAATTCAAAGCAGCTCTGAAGATCTGTGGCCTGTCAGTAACGACTCTAGAAAGCTACCGGGGTGGCAAGGCGCACGTGATGCCACAGCAGCACAGGCTGTGGCAGCGTGTGTTTCAGCCTCTTGCTGCCGCAGCAGGCTAGACAAAAATCAGATCCCCACAGCTGTGATTAATGTGGTGATGCTGACCGAAGCTGAATGGACTTATGCCACGAGTTATGTAAAATGGGACTCATAAGATTGTTTGGCAGAGAGCTAAATCATAGTCTGAGATGATAAATATTACAGATAGAAGAAATAGCACATATAATGGGCTTGATCTTTGGAGTAAATCTGTGTGGCTTACTTGAGCATAATAGAGCTAGGCTTGCTACGGATTGACTGAGGATATGCCATACAACTCCTGTGCTGGGGGTGATGTAGATTGTATTTCCCTGTTTTTTCTTAGCATTTAAGGGGTTACTTACTCTATACAGTTCTTTGTGTGTACCTGGTTTCTTGAATTTAGGGAATATATAATTTCAAATAGGTACCAGTCATTTTTTTGTCACTAGCTTCAAAGTTATGGCGTGTCACTTGCATTGAATTCTGCACGTATTTTCAGCATGAGGAGCTTAAAGGGATAAATAAAAA